CAGTGGAGCTTATTTTACTACCCAATGCTTTTATATGTGGACCCCATTATAATTTATTATAAAACGTGATCCCTGGAAATATCGTATAATCTAGTCCATCAAACATTTTAGCAAAGCAACAACATTGTGTCCGCCAATATACAAAGTCTAATGACGAATATTCTCAAATAGTGAGTCTTCCTTCCTTTTATTACATATACAGGATATTAGTGTAAACACCGTTATCCTTGAGATCAGTGGTTTGGTTTCACTTATAGAACGTAAATTCATTGAAAAATAACAACACTTTTTAGTAAAAATCTCAATTTTCCTTAATTCCTCAATTTTTGCCTGTCCTAAGCCAGGATGAAAGTATGAAGAAAAAGTTACATCACAGATATTGTGTTTTTATTGGAATGTTGTGTAGGTAGCTAGCGCGGGCAGTGATCTTTACAGTGACGGACGGTGTCGGAAAACTTTTTAAATTTATGAAAGAAAAAAAGTTTTTTTTTTAATTTCAGATAAATATTTTTATATTGGTTCTTCGAGCTATATAGCCGGCCCTATGCCACTTCAGCTTACTAATCCGTTGGGCTATGTCGGTCCCTCTGGTTTTACTGCGGATATCCTCATTTCTGAGTCTATCACGCAGAGAAACTCCGAGCATAGCCCTCTCCATAGCTCGCTGAGCGACCTTGAGCGTCCTCATACGGCCAGCAGTGAAGGACCACGTCTCTGATCCGTAAGTCATCACTGGCAACACGCACTGGTTGTACACTTTAGTTTTCAGAGATTGAGGTATACCTGACGAGAAGATGTGTCGTAATTTCTCGAACGCTGCCCAGCCGAGTTGAATCCGTCGATTGACCTCTCGGTCGAAGTTGGACTTACCTAGTCGGACTATTTGTCCCAGGTAAACGTACTCGTCAACAACTTCGAGCATAGTGCTCCCAACAACTACCGGCATAGGTGTGACATGGACATTAAACATGATCTTTGTTTTGTCCATGTTCATCTTAAGACCGTTGGGAGACACCATTGAGGTCATTGAGCATAGTGCTAAGGTCCTCCAGGGATTCTGCCATAAGGGCCATATAATCGGCAAATCGAAGGTGAGTGATGTACTCGCCATTGATGTTAATACCGTATCCTTTCCAGTCCAGTAGCTTGAAAACGTCTTCCAACGCAGCGGTGAAGAGTTTCGGGGATATAACGTCACCCTGTCTTACACCTCTCTGCAGTTGGATAGGATTCGAACTCTGGTTCTGTACTCGGATAGCCATCGTAGCCCTACTGTACAAACACTTCAGCACTTCGATATACCGACAGTCAACTTGACACCGCTGAAGGGACTGTAGCACCGCCCAAATTTCGACGGAATCAAAGGCTTTTTCATAGTCCACATACGCCAGGCAAAGTGGCAGATTGTACTCTTCGGTCTTCTGTACAATCTGCCGCAGGGTCTGCGGAAATCGGCTTGTTCGGGAGGCTGGAAGTCGTCGAGTCTGCGTGCGAGACGATTCGTAATGACTCTCGAAAACAGCACGTAGACGCGGCTCAGACGGGAAATCGGACTGTAGTTCTTCAAGAGAGCGTTGTCGCCTTTCTTAAAGAACAAGACTACCGCACTTCTGCTCCACGCCTCCGGAGTAGTGCCACCATAGAGGACGGAATTGAAGAGCTTCTGAAGGACTTCAAGTACCGGTGTTTCACCCGCTTTCAGAAGCTCCGCTGTAATTCCATCCTCGCCTGGGGCCCTGCCGTTTTTAAGGTGCTGGAGAGCCATTATAATCTCGCTCAGCTGACGTCCTGGATATCATCGGAATAGTGTCGGGTAAGACTTGCTCTTGGATCGTTACTCATACTTGCGTGTGGCTCCAACGATGATGTGTACAGCTGCCCATAGAACCTCTCAATCTCACTCAAAATCTCAGGTGTCTCGGAAACGATGCTGCCACACTCAGTCTTTAGCTTTGAAAGTTGGCTCTTTCTGGCAGACAGATCTCTGGCAAAGACTTTGGACCCCGGTTCGCTCGATCGCTTCTTTAATACGAGCAGTATTAAAGTTGCGTAAGTCTCGCCGCACGCCGCAATATAGCTCGAAGAACCGATAACCAATGGGGAAGAAAGGTTCTCGAGTGGCAGCCTCGTACCGGTAGGCGTAGTGTAGGGCGACCCCCTACTAGATGGAGTGACGACCTGGTAAGACATGCAGGAAGTCGATGGATGCAGGTGGCTCAGGACCGTGCTTTGTGGCATTCCTTGGGGGAGGCCTATGTTCAGCAGTGGACTTGTGAAGGGCTGTAATGATGATGATTTTTATATTAAAGCCAACTACCTATAGTTTTAGTGACAACGGTGTTTACACTTCAACGTATGAGCGTACTTTCTACGACTAGCCTTTCTCCATTCTTTGATTGCCTCGTTGGTCTAGTGGCCGTAAGCGCAAATACCGGTTCAGACCAAAATGAGTTACCGGGTTTTTTTGTCAGTAAGTTCTCAGTAGCAGCCAAGAGACAGGAAGTTGGCGGTGTCTCACCCCCGTGCCTACGAAAGCGCGTAAAGCCGTTGGTCCTGCAACCCATTTGTTTTTGATTGATTTGAGATTGCTTCATAATTCCCCCCCCCCCTTGATTTTGATTTTTCAACGATTGATTGGTATGCTTAGCGGTTTGAATGAATCTAGGGCTAATTTTTATGCAAAAACAATTTGCTCTTCACGTCTCGATCTCTTCGTCGTGTCTTTGGCAGTAAATCTGGACCTTGTGAATTTTCGGGTGGTAGTAAAATTAGTGGTAGTAAATTTTGGGTTGTAAACATGCCTTTTGACTTATCGTATTCTTCTTTTCACACAACATATGAGTTTCCTTACTATGCTTTCATTTATCGCCGATCACGTGTTAAATAAGCGTTTAAATAATTAGCAATTAAATTGTGGACGTTGGAGATCGAATCCGGCTTGCTCGCGTAGTGTTAAATTTACGGTGAGTGCTTTACACCTTGTTTTTAAAACAACAAAAATACATAATACACACAATTCATAAATGCAGTGAAACATAAACCTATTTAAGAAAAATTCTGCACAGCAGTTCGCTGTCTTTCGAGTGTAAACATTTGAATATTATTTAAAGTAAGAAGGTAGTCAGTCCCCTTCTATAAAAATAACATAAGGATGAGTTGTCAGTGTTGTGATGCGAAGACATATTAAGTAGGGACACTTAGATGCGATTGTTGATAGCATGAATGATATGAGTGAAGGTTTGCTTAGGGTAGTGTGACTGCCTCGTTGGTCTTGTGGTTGTAGTAGTACAACTGCTGCTCATGAGGTCCTGGGTTCGATTCTCGGGTAGGGCCAAAAAACTTATTATTGAGTTTTTCCGTCAAGAAATTCTCAGTAGTTGCCCGGTGTCAGGAAATTAGCGGTGTCTCACCCCTATGCCTCGGAAAGCACGTAAAGCCGTTGTTCCTACGCCTGATCTCTCTCCGGTCGTGTCGGTTTACCATCCCATCGAATTAAAATAGTGCACCTGTGCTTGCGCATACACTTGGGCACTATAATCATGTCCTGCGCCGATGGGTAGTCTCCGCTGAGGCAGGCCGCCGTGACCGAAATTCGGTCTGGAGGACATTATTAGGGTAGTGTACAGAATGTTCCACCTGAAGGGACGGACTGGACCTGAACTACCAAAGCACATACCGTCACCCATAATGACAAACATATTCATCATCATTGTTAGTATGTTAAATACATAATTAATATTTTTTAAGGAATATGGGTGACAAACGATCACACTATTCTGATAGTAAGTGGATCAAACGATCACAATATTCTGATAGTAAGTGGATAGTGTGCCCATAGATATCTACATCTATCTTCAATTAAGATTCAAAATGCAGATGTGTTGCCACCCTTGAGGGCTAAGATGGAATGCCTCATTACATACACAAACTTCGATAACAGTTCCTTTTTTAAAACAGTTGTCCATATTGACCTCGCTGGTGGTTAGTTTAACAAGTCCCAGACACCATTTTTACTGCTAACGAGCAATTCCATCTTAATTCTCGGCCTTGATATCGCACGTATTTTGACCCCTTAATCCAATAGGTGTAAGTGTCAATTTCAGTTTTCGAAATCACCGGGGTGACTAAGTACTTGCTGATTTATTGGATTACCTTACATATTAAAATCACATAAATCCATTATTGATAATAGTTGCGTCTGTTATTAACGGAGTGTATAGAGTAAAAATGAAGAAAATACCTTATATTTTATCATATTTATCTTTTTTTTTTGATGATGGCCAGAATATACATTGAAATTAATCCCACCGTAAATAAATTGGATTCGGTGCAATTAAAAAAACATGTACATATCAAACTGAACAAATTTATTCATTATTAACGTTCCTTCATAATACATACTTAATATTTTATTACCAAACATGAACTAAATAATGAAATATAATACCAAAATTTAACACACTTTAAAAAGTGGCAATATCACTTAATGGTACCTTCGAAAAAAATGCAACTAAATTTTTAAATAACTTTTTCGCTGTAACGTCCATTATGGGATCTCCGAATTCCTTTGATATCTGTTTCCAATTCTCGTTCAAGAAAATAAGCATTGGCTCACCTGCAAAAGTGGAAGAAAAATTAAGAACGTCTACCTATAATCCGGTTTTATTTAGCCCTTTTTGGATTACATAAGATAAAAAATTTATGTAATAATATATTTTAATTTTAATACATAAGAATAAAATTAAAAATTATAATCAGTATATTCATACATTACTTTTATTGACATGAAAAAGATGTAAAGACTTCTCACTTAGTTATTTATTTACAGTTTAATAATATCAGGTAAAATAAAATTTGGTTTAATATAATGGATAAATGACATACATAATTCTGTGAAAGTTTTTGATTATGTACATTTATTTATTTAAAAAACTTTATTTCAAAGGGAAAACTAAAAATACGTTTAAATAACTTGTAGATGTTCTAAAATACTATTTATTTTACTTACTTAGTTCCCTGTTTCCATTGAACAAATTTGTTAAATCGAAATTTGCACCATCCTTTACATCAAATTTGAAACTATATGACTTTGGAATTAAGAAAACTTTTCCTTCCTTTTCCTCCTTTTCGTAGTTTATTACCAAAATAATTGCTAAATTTTCTGTAAATAAAATGTTTCTTTTTATGCAATATCAAATAATTTCTTCACACATATTATTATTTTTAAATTGTGACAAATAAGAGTAATGCAATGTAGTTGAAATGCTATAATTCTTTGTAATTACAATTTTAATAAGCAAGAAAGAAATCAGTGTAATGGAAGTGTTTCAATCTACATTTATTTCCATGTGCTAAAATACCCACATCTGTAACAATTATTATTAGTAGCCCATAAAATACTGTTTCGAATCGAAATAAGAAAAATACTACTGAGCCGCGTACATAAAGCCACTGCACGATAGAATCTACATATATTCAAATATTTATTTAAAAAAATGTAGAATCTGTCGTGCAGTGGTTGCATCATCAACACCGTTATTACAGCTCTCCATGAGTCTACTGCTGAACACAGGCTTTCTTCAACGATTCATCACTACTAACATCATCATTACAGTCCTTCATGAGTCTATTGCTGAACACAGGCTTCCATCAACGATTCATCACTAACATCATCATTAACATCGTCATTACCGTCATTCATGAGTCTACTGCTGAACATAAACTTTCTTCAACGATTCATCACTAACATCATCATTACAGTCCTTCATGAGTCTACTGCTGAACACAGGCTTCCTTCAAAGATTCATCACTAACATCATCATTAACATCGTCATTACCGTCATTCATGAGTCTACTGCTGAACATAAACTTTCTTCAACGATTCATCACTAACATCATCATTACAATCCTTCATGAGTCTACTGCTGAACACAGGCTTTCTTCAACGATTCATCACTAACATCATCATTAACATCGTCATTACCGTCATTCATGAGTCTACTGCTGAACATAAACTTTCTTCAACGATTCATCACTAACATCATCATTACAGTCCTTCATGAGTCTACTGCTGAACACAGGCTTCCTTCAAAGATTCATCACTAACATCATCATTAACATCGTCATTACCGTCATTCATGAGTCTACTGCTGAACATAAACTTTCTTCAACGATTCATCACTAACATCATCATTACAGTCCTTCATGAGTCTACTGCTGAACACAGGCTTTCTTCAACGATTCATCACTAACATCATCATTAACATCGTCATTACCGTCATTCATGAGTCTACTGCTGAACATAAACTTTCTTCAACGATTCATCACTAACATCATCATTACAGTCCTTCATGAGTCTACTGCTGAACACAGGCTTCCTTCAAAGATTCATCACTAACATCATCATTACAGTCCTTCATGAGTCTACTGCTGAACATAGGCTTTCTTCAACGATTCATCACTAACATCATCATTAACATCGTCATTACCGTCATTCATGAGTCTACTGCTGAACATAAACTTTCTTCAACGATTCATCACTAACATCATCATTACAATCCTTCATGAGTCTACTGCTGAACACAGGCTTCCTTCAACGATTCATCACTAACATCATCATTACAGTCCTTCATGAGTCTACTGCTGAACACAGGCTTGCTTCAACGATTCATCACTAACATCATCATTAACATCGTCATTACCGGCATTCATGAGTCTACTGCTGAACATAAACTTTCTTCAACGATTCATCACTAACATCATCATTACAGTCCTTCATGAGTCTACTGCTGAACACAGGCTTCCTTCAACGATTCATCACTAACATCATCATTATTCAGTCCTTCATGAGTCTATTGCTGAACACAGGCTTCCATCAACGATTCATCACTAACATCATCATTAACATCGTCATTACGTTTCATGAGTCTACTGCTGAACATAAACTTTCTTCAACGATTCATCACTAACATCATCATTACAGTCCTTCATGAGTCTACTTCTGAACACAGGCTTTCTTCAACGATTCATCACTAACATCATCATTAATATCGTCATTACCGTCATTCATGAGTCTACTGCTGAACATAAACTTTCTTCAACGATTCATCACTAACATCATCATTAACATCGTCATTACCGTCATTCATGAGTCTACTACTGAACATAAACTTTCTTCAACGATTCATCACTAACATCATCATTACAGTCCTTCATGAGTCTACTGCTGTATATAGACTTTCTTCAACGATTCATCACTAACATCATCATTACCGTCCTTCATGAGTCTACTACTGAACATAGACTTTCTTCAACGATTCATCACTAACATCATCATTACAGTCCTTCATGAGTCTACTGCTGAACATAGACTTTCTTCAACGATTCATCACTAACATCATCATTAACATCATCATTACAGTCCTTCATGAGTCTACTACTGAACATAGACTTTCTTCAACGATTCATCACTAACATCATCATTAATCTCATACAGTCCTTCATGAGTCTACAGCTGAACATAGGCTTCCTTCAACGATCCATCATTAAAGCAACATCGTTACAGCCTTTCACGATTCCACTACTAGACATAGACTTCCTCCAAGAAACGAATTAAAATATGGTCCTGAGCTAACTGCTTCCATCTTTTTCATGTATGTCTTACCAGGTCACCAGGTCAGCACTCCATCTCTATGGCTTTAATGATTAGCCTTGTTTAGTAAATACAAGAAAAACTCTGTGGTCACCTATAAATAGCTTAAATAGAAATAGGCAATAAATATATAAATATTTTCAACCTACACTTATAAAGAAAGCAAGCTGAAAACTAATATATTTATTTCTTACTCATTTTCAGTTTCATTTGTCCATCCCCACTTATAGGCAAGATGAGGATGCGGCCAGCCGCTGTGTAATGACCCTTAAGGCTGCAGTCAAGATGAAAAAATATTTCCATTTTCTCTTTTTCAAGATCCCATCTATAATAAATTGTAAACACTAATTTTAAAAGTTACCTTCCTTTTGGTAAATAAAGCAAAATGGATTTAACGTGGACAAAAAATAATGAATTAAACGATATTTACTATCGATTAAACTGTTAAAAAAGTTTAGACAGTTGTACTTTCCATTTGACTATATTAAAATCCATATTATATATTTGTATATATATATATATATATATATATATATATATATATATATATATATATATATATATATATATATTATGTATCTTTACGGATACTAAAATATGTAAATAAATTCTTAACAAAATGGTATTTCTACAAAAGAATACAACTAACTTAACGTTATCTACAATTGAATTCTTCAATCCTTGCAAGCGACCGTCCTTTAAACCAAACTTGAGACCAGCCAAATCGAAATTTACTTCATCCATTTTCATAACATCTAAAATTTCAACACCCACATCCGGCATGCCAGACATAAATATTGGCATTGCTTTTTGAAAAGCCTGTATCAAACACGACGAGTCCTTTAGTTTACATTTTTCGACTGGTAAAACTGAAAAGGCAGCAATTAATTAAAAAGTAAGTACCTAATAGCAATTTTGTAACTTATTAGATAATGAAAAATTAAAAAAAAACATATTGATATAATGTTAAAATTCGTATTGATAAATAATAGACAGTGATATAAGTAATACAGTTAATATAAAAGCACGATCTTTAAAGAACAATCGACATCAAATCAACATGGTAAAATAGTAAATTAAAATAGCGCTTTGAATAAAACCACCACCAAACATATTAACATGTTACTATGTATGTAATATGTTAATAAGGAAAAAGTTCAGTTTTGTTCAGCTTCATATACAGAGTGTCCGGTAAGTATAATAATAATAACTCTGCAGGTACTAGTACCCCTGCAGGGGCAATCAGAAAAAAATAAAATAAAAATATATCTGCGGCAGTTTGGATAATTTTTTTTAAAGTATGAAATTCTATACTTCTGTTATTATCTATGATTATTAAAAATACCTATTGATTTTCTCTGGGAATAACTAAGCTTGACCACTTATAAATGTAAATGTAATAACACTAATCTGTAGATTCCGCTTCTCCGTACCCATATTTTGCATATTCATTTATTCCTAACGTTAAAAAAATACTTTAATAGAAATTATACCACAAACTTTAAAAATTATTTTGATTTGAAATGGCCAGAGCTGCAGAACGACAATTTCATAGGAGAATACCTATTATATACATTCATACAATCAATAAACTTTAACCTTCTCCTGTGGCAGTCGGGTAAAGTCGAGTCTCAGAAAGTCGTGTGGTTTTCTTAAATCGTAACACTGCTTGCACTATTTTCATTTTAAAAATAATTATTGTTGAAATTGAATGGAGATTTTAATTTTTAATTATATTTTTACTTCAATATTAATATATAACTCGAATAAAATTTGTATTGTGCTCGCATGAAATCAATTAATATAACAAATAAATACTTTGCACTGCATAAATTATTTTAAAGTATAAAAACGCTCACAAAATATTTAACACACTGATCACGGTATGGGCCTTTTTTTAAATTAATACACATTAAATGCACTTTTAAAACCGATTATATTTAAACAAAGATAACTTACCTGATGAACTGACGATTCCTACTAACATTATTTTGAACACAAAAATCAAATTCAACATATTGCTCTGCATCACAGCTTTATAATATGGCTTTAAAGTTAACACCGCACTAATGTAAAATTATGTTGTAAGGGAATATATATTGACTGCGAAGTGGAGTTGTGTGCAAAAAACTTGAAGAGCAACAATAAATTATATTATGGTAATAGTTGCAGTTGTAAAAATAATTCCTCATGCATTTTACACCATTAATAATATGACTAAGAACTTTTAAAACAATTATATAATATGACATTAGCTACCACTTAAATGTATCGTATAATAACACAGTTAATTATATATTTTCTGAAATGGACCGTAACTTCCTCCTACTGTTCCTATAACAATTCTAGTCTATTTTCGCTATATAAGTTACATTTTTTGTATTAAACTATTATTAGTTTTATGTCTAAAATTTTAAAACCTAGGTAAGGAATAAGTTTAAGCGTTATTACCGATAAGTGAAGCAAGATTTTTTATAGGAGTAAGCTATGAAAAAAAAAAACAACCCCGTTTAGTGAGTAAGACATTTTATGAGATATAATATATGTCTATGGACTGAAGCTTCCACTGACCATTACTTGGAATATGTGCTCGTTTGTCACCCTAATTCCACAAACAAATTTTTGAAATCATGTGCTCATAAAAGAAATGAATAAACCAATGTGAGAGTGTCTAAAAAAAATTAATGTGTAAAAGACATAAGATCAGGAGATTAGACGTGGTCGGTTCGTTTGTTACCTTTACCACTATAAAGAAAAATTAATAAGATCACCGCACTTCTGCTCAGCTGCCCGTAGTACACCTCAAACTCACTCAAAATATCAGGTGTTCTAGAGACGATGCCACTCCATTCGGTAGTCAGCTTCGACAATTGGCTCTTTCTGGCAAACAGATCCCTGGCAACGACTTTAGAACATTGGTTCCTCTCGATCGGTTCTTTCATACGAGCTGTATTGAAGTTGCGTAAGTCCCGCCACATGCATTTGGAGATCTTTCTGTTCAGTTTGCTGTATGCTGTCATATCTGCTGATAACTGCAGCTTCATTCATGGCACACACAGTCATGACATTAAGAGTGTGATCTGAGAGATTTTGGGTTTTTCTCCAGAATATCTTGCAAAACTTAGCTCCGACGACATGAAAAGTTAATACGAGCACGTCATTCGTATCGTACACCGTATTGCAGACTTCTAGGCACTGAAAACGATTTCGTAACTCGAGCTGAAAGTTTTCGGGGCGTTGATTTCATTAACCGTGACCTCTCAAACTTAACATTTATCTTTAGTGTACCTTTAACCCTTTGGTGATCGCTGCCAATTTTTACCCTCGCGATCACTGAGACATCACTGAAAGTACCGTCTGGTCGTCAAAATGAAGTCTCATTATTTTGTGGAACCATGGGGTTCTACGAGGTCTAGTTTCTGTGAGGCCGCTTCAGAAATAAAGAGTTCGTCATAAAGAGTCCCTCTTTCTCCATGAAGTCGGCCAGTTGCTGGTCCCTTGGGTTCTGTTTCATTATCCCGACTTTCTCTACCATTAGCTGACCGTTTCCTCTTGCGCATAGTTTTGCTTTGAAGTCTCCCATTAACAACGTATAGTGAGTTTTGGAGGAATGCATGGCTTTAGAGACATCCTCAAACATTTCCTCCACCTCATCGTCTAGATGTGCCAAGGTTGGTTCGTAAACCTGTATAACCTTTAGGGAATACCGACTGGTGATTTTGAGTAAAAGATACGCAACCTTCTTTGACTATTTTACAATGATGATACAGGTGGTCGCTCTTCCAGTATATTACAAATGCTGGATTTGAGGATTACCGAGTCCTGCCCCTTTCTTCGGACCTCAGATAATCCTATAAACAGAGGCGGCCCTAGGGTGGTGCGAGCGGTGCGACCGCATCGGGCGCCGTCATCGGGAGGGCGCCGAAATCAACCGAAATGCAACGGGCACTGGTCACCGCCTCATATAACATTCCGTTTTATTGACTCAATGAAGTAGAGAAATAATAAATAAGAAAGAGGGTATTTTGTTGATGATGATGATGATAGATGGTAGCACCCAGCCATTTTCTCCATTGAACTCTTACGTCAGTAGTTGTTAGGACTACGCTGGGTGTTATCGTTGGGTATGTTCACCAGTCCACACAGACACACATGTAAGTGATAACTCTAACTTCGACCGAGAAGTTAATTGAGCGAATCCAACTCGACTGAGTTTCGTGTAGTGTATATATTCTTTGACTGAGTAGCGTTCGGGAACTACGACACATCGATAGATATTCCTCGATACATATTTTTCAATGCCATAAAACAAAGAGTGTACAACCAGTTCTTATTGCCAGTATTCACGTAAGCATCCAATCACTGGCAATACCCACCTTCTGGTCTCCTGGTGATGATTGAGATGGATTGGCCTGGTAAGACGTGCAGTAAGTCGATAGATAAAGACGGTGACTCAGGACCGTGTTTTGAGGCATTTTTTGCAGGAGATTTTTTTTTAAATGGAGAATTGTGTATATAAACTTATGAATCTTGTGGGGAGCTGTAATGGTCATGATGATGATGATGAGGTATTCAGAATAAGCCACAAATCATCAATAACAACTTAAAAATAAGTCTTTACATCATAACAAATCACTGCATCTAATTACTATTTCCACTTGCCACTATATTCTATTCAACGTTTATTTCAAACGCTATTATGTTATAATGTGGCTATTACTGTCCTCCGTTTAAATCGAGTTCTGAAGTTATTCCGCAGAACGTCAGAAATTTTCACTTTGCTATGTTTATTTCTTTGTTCGTTCCACCGCGTTTTCAACGTGACTTGACTTTATAACGACCCACTCCACACACATAGACAAGAGTTTTTATTATTTTCATTATTTCTTTGCAACTCTTGAGTATGTTAGGCAGTAAAACCCGCCAAGTTTGTTACGATATTATTTTCACCTCAAAAATGTTTTGTTTATACGTCCTTAAGTTTTTTACAGGATATAAAATCTAATCTTTATCGTTGAAGAGTTTGTGACAATGGCGTCAATCGCAGCGTATTGTCGCAATATGATGTTTTCCGTCACTTAGGACCATTTCTTCAATAACCCATGCGATAGCAGTACTACATACGCTTGACATACTGAGCCGATGTTGCACAATTAAACAATACATATCTAGGTATTATTCTACGCGACGCCACAGCGATACGACCGCCTCGCGACTTTATTTAGTACATCTGTTAAATTAAAGTATCCTCTCGCAGTTACAAAAAAAAATTATTTTCATTTGCCACTGGCCGTCATAACAAATAAAGTTCATTAACCAAATATATTTTTTTCTTAGCAATAAATGTTAAAAATTTTCAGTATACACGACAATTTTAAACTTTAACCTTCTATTGCTTTCTGGGTAAAATACCACGTAAAGCTTAAAATACTATCATCTAGCAAATTTATTTATTTATTTTGCCATATTATATCTTGTTTTTATACTGACTAGTGCGTCATGTGATACCTCTTGTCTAGATTTTCAGCAATATTTTACAAAAAAAAAACATTTTAAGATCTAAAAAAAGTTTGTCGTCTTTGTGTGTATGTGTATGTATGTCCATACTGTCGTATGGAAGATTTGCCTTATTCGTACCTTCGTTGTGTGATGTCTTGCACTCTTGCAAGGGCACTTTTGCACCGCCATTATACGAAAAATCTTCTACAATCTTTTTAATCCCTTTTGTTTACTTATGAAATATTTTTATGACAAGAACCTATCAAAACAAACCGAAACCGAAAAAAGACTTAAATAAAAACCTTACAACTTATCAAAAAATGACTAAAAGACGTTTTTTTCCCCTGATCTAACATGCTCTTATTAAATGTGTGCCTACAGTAAACATAAGTGTTGACCCTTAACGAGTAATTCCATATCAAATTAAAAAAATGTTGTTTACATTTCGACAATGACCGCTAGCTACTAGACATGGCTAAAGGTTTTACCTGACTAACCATTTCTATACAAGTAAAGTTGACTAAAGAGTACCAGTCCAGCTTGTGATAAGTGGTTGCTGGTTGCTGTCACCGACACTCTTCCATATGTCATCGAAAATGAATCAAAACACAGATGCTTTGTCACCTTTGAAAACTAGGATGGAATCTCTTATTACCATTAAAAATAACTCGAGCTCTCTACATTTTTTAGTTGTTATTAAAAAGATGCTGTTGTCAACCTCCTGGTTTGTTTTTATTTACATCACCCACGGGACGATATGAGTTATAACTCATATCGTCCCGTGGGTGATGTAAGAGGGATGTAAGAGGGCTATAGGATATTCTTACACTATCACTACACGGTTACGGCCTGGCAAGTGTAGCAAATATGGCAAACCTTTTAGTCCACCAGTTAGTCATAACTGAGGTAATCTAGGGAGAGCTCTTTGTTCAGCAGTGGGATTTTGATCAAGTCGACCAACTCGTGTTACAGCTATAATACAGCTGCAGCGTAACTCTGCCGCTTAAAACATTGACTACCATTATATATTATTAAAGTGACAAACGAACCCACAGTCCATCTAATATAAAGTGCAGCCCATGGACATCCCCAACAACTTTAAATAGAGAAAACTACAGATGTGTTATCACCTTTGACGACTTAGATGAGTCTCAAAGCCTGTAATTAATTATACCAGCTTTATGTACCCTTATACCACACAGAAAAAACGCAGTGCACGCTCTGCTCTTTGTTGGCAGAAATAAGTAGGAAGATTTATCTTTCCAAATTTACTTAGGAGGGTTTCATAGGTTTCATGCATAAAAGTCCTACAACCTATCTAAAACGTTAAACGTATACTAAGTTCTTAATTTATCTCCGCCACTACTAGAAATTCTCCTGTACCGTGAAACATCTTACAAATATAAATTGCATAGACAAACATCCAGACACGTATTTGTTCCAAACAGGAATCGAATATGCGTCTCGTATCTTTTCAACCAAATGCTT